TTCACGGATAAGAGGGATTGAGTGAGACCGAGAGGTCAGTTGTGAGATATTTAGCATTCCTCTAGGAGTGAGGGTTGATCGCTCGCCTTGTTGTGCATATTGTTAGGGTGTTGTGGGGATACTTGGGACGAATATGGGTAAGTGTGGAAGGTAGTAGCGGCCCATGCTACTTAAAGCACAGAACCTATACGCGTGCCAAGTAAGTCGCAATCCCTAGGGTTAGTAGGGAGTTGGCTCCCAAAGATTTATATGAATTATCTAATATCTTTTGCTATGTTTCAGAATGGTGATGACGAGACACTTCGTGGTTGGATCCGGTTCGGGATCAGGATTGGGGAATGGAGGTCAGGAAGGGCCGACAGCACCTGAGCTAGTGGTGCAGATGGGTACAGAGGAGTTAGATGCCAGGATTCGGGAAATCCTGCATGATGAGGTTGCTGCTGCATTTCGGGCTCAGTTACCAGAGATGTTCGGGTCGATTAAGACTGCTATGGTGGAGTATTTTGATGAGCGCTATGCAACCCTTGCAGAGACAGCCGTCGCAGCAGCTGCATCAGCTGTATCAGCGACGGGGGGAGGAGTTAATAGGGGTTTTCAGTACAGGGACTTCGATAACACGAAGCCCCCTACTTATGATGGGACGCAGGATCCCATCAAGGCTATGAGGTGGATTTCAGATGTGGAGGGGTGTTTCTTCACCTGCTCGTGTCCTGCTGACCAGAAGGTCAGGTGTGCTCTAAACCTGCTTAGGTCGGGGGCCAAGGACTGGTGGAGGCTTGCGACTGGGTCATACTCTGATGATCAGAGAGCTGTTGTTACTTGGGAGCAGTTCATGGATATGTTCCATGCCCATTACATTCCACGGGTTGAACGGGAGCGATTGTCACAGGAGTTTTTGAGTTTGAGACAGGATGGGGAGTCGGTGACGGGGATTACCCGGATGTTCACTGAGAGGGCGATGTTTTGCCCGGAGTTTGCTTCAGAGGAGGCTCAGATGACCCGTTATCTGAGCATGCTCAAGACGGATATCCGTTAGTTTGTGTCTACCCAGCGATGTGATACTCTTCTAGAGTTGCAGGAGGCCGCCAGACGGCGTGAGTTGGAGATTGAGCAACAGTTGAGAGAACAGCGGCAGGCCCCGACACATTCTCAGCCAGCGCCGAAGCGGTCTCAGACCGCTGATACTCGGACTGGGGGTCAGCAAAGCCGCACATGTGGGACGTGTGGCAAGGGTCATTCTGGTGTGTGTCGAGCTGGTAGTGGATGCCACAAGTATGAAAGGGAAGGGCATTACGCGAGGGACTATCGCCAGGCCGCTCCAATTCAGAGTCTGAGGTTATGTTACCATTGTGATCAGGTTGGCCATTTGAAGGCCAACTGCCCGTTACTTTGAGGCTCCAGCGCCGACTACTTTGAGGATCACGGATGGGAGACCAGTCAGGACCGAGCCTCCAAAGGTTCAGGGTCGTGCCTTCCAGCTTACAGCGGAGGAGGCCAGAGCAGCACCGGATGTGGTTGCTGGTATGTTTCTATCCTTATCTCGTTATTTTTATATCTGTTGCATTCTTATCTGTGGCACCCATGGTTAGGTACGTTTTTAGTGAACTCCTTGCCTGCCTTGGTCTTATTTGACTCGAGGGCGAGTCGGTCTTTCGTATCTCAGACATTTAGTAGGGGGTTCAGTGCACCAGTAGGCGAGTTAGAGTGTCCGTTGCGAGTGTCTATCGCCAACGAACACGGGGTTTCTGCTTCTTCTGTTTATCGAGGGTGTGACTTAGAGATTTTCGGAGTGTCATTTCCGATAGATTTGATTCTGATTCCCATGGGGGAGGTATGCGTGATTGTAGGCATGTATTGGCTCAGTCGATTCGGTGCCATGATCGACTGTGAGGGGCAGCGTGTGGTAGTTCGAACCCCAAGTGGGGGAGAACTAATTGTTTATGGCGAGGGCACCAGAGTGGAATCAGGGTTTTGTTCAGCTGCCAGGGCACGGCAGTACCTTCAGCAAAGGCATGATCGTACCGCTCCTCCTATTGTGTTATGTTTCTAGGAAAACTCTGATATAAATGTATTTTGAAAACAAAGTTGTAATGTTTTAATGAATTCGACATGTTTTTGAAAATTTAGATTTGGCTTAAATTTTTGAGCAAAGGCATGATCGCGTATCTATCAAATTTTTGAGTGTTACAACTACTTTCCAGCATCCAAGGTGAGTTACCTTTCCTGTATGAGTGGGTTGAAGGCACCAATATCGAGACCCACTAGTAGTTGTTTATAGTAGAGATGATTATCTTTGTGATAATTGTCTGGTATGCCATTACCTACAGAGATTTATGTGCTTGGATGTTATGTTATTATGTGGTAGTAGTAGTGGTGAAATAGACCCCGTAACCGGTTGAAATAAATCGGAGGATAGGTCGGGCACCCAGATATGCCTGATCGGGTAGCTCGAGCACCCATATATGCTTGACAAGGTAGGTTTGGCACCCAGATATGCCTGACAGGGTAGGTCAAGCACCCATGTGTGCTTGACATGGTAGGTCGGGCACCCATATATGTCTGGCAGTATGTTTATGTTATGTTATTATGTGGTAGTTGTAGAGGTGAATAGACCCCGTAACCAGTTGAAATAAACTGAAGGGTAGGTCGGGCACCCAGATATGCCTGATAGGGTATATGGTAGGTTAGGCACCCAGATATGTCTGACAAGGTAGGCCAGACACCCAGATATGTCTGGTAATATATGATTATGTGGTATGATGGGGGGGGGGGGGGGGGACTTACTAAGCTTCGTGCTTACAGTTTTCAGTTTTGATTTCAGGTACCTCTTCTTCAAAAGGAAAGGAGTCAGCATGAAAGCATCACACTATGATTTTCCACACATGGAATCTTTGGGTGTTGTACTTTGATGATGTTCTTATGCCATGTTTTGGATATTGATTTGGATTATGACATGTGATGTTACTATTGATGTTTTTAGACTACTAATTTTTATATTTATATAATTAAAAATGAAATTTTTAGTCTTACATTTTGGGATGTTACAACATGTGAAAACATTGGATTTTTTTGTTAAAATGTGGCTAGTTTATATTATTGGATGATATATATATATATATATATATATATATATATATATATATATATATATATATATATATATATAATTGTGTCGTCTTGTCTCGCCTTGAAAAACGTCAATGACCTCGCAATGTCTCTCAAAGCTTGAGGCTCGAATATGTCGTCAAGTTACGTCTTACGTTATTTAAAACTATGTAGAGAACTAAATTAAAAGAAAAATGTCTTGAGAACTTTTGTATGCCCATGTAATTTTAACACCAAATTTCGCATGTTAATTGGATTTGATTAATCCAAGAGCACTCACAAAAAAAAAAAAAAAAAAAAAAAAAAAGTTGTATCAAAAATGATTTTTTTTAAATATATATATATATATATATATATATATATATATATATATATATATAAGGTTAAGTTTATGTGAAACCATTATATTTTGCGAGACGGACTAAACACACGATAAAAATACATTTTAGGGACCGTCCGAATTAATAAAAAATAACTTAATGACCAAACGTGCAAAGTATCCCAAACCACATGGACCATTCGTGTAATTTACTGAAAATTTTAAAATAATCGCAAAGATACCAAACACCATAATATAATAATAATAATAATAATAATAATAATAATACATATGATTACATTTTGGAGAATAAAAATCAAAAGTTAACTTTTTTCCAAATGTGATCGCCTGTTAACGGGTTATACCGTTATAGCACACGTCACCATTCAGGGTTTTTTTTTTGTTTTTTTTTTTTGAAACTCAAATAATTTTTCAGGTAAATGACTAAAAACGCAATTAATTGCGTGTAATTTGGCGTAAATCTAATTGAATTATTTAAACCAATGTTTTCTTTCTCTCTCAAGGTACAACTTAATCTTGAAGTAAAAACCCACCAGAAACTGGCACCTTTTCAACCTGTGTTTAAAGTCGATAGCAGAAACAGAAGAAGATTATAGGACTCTGCCTATCTTCCTCACTGACATTACACACACTTTCACCCAACCAAACTACAGTGTTTTCTTTTCCCTACTACTCTAGTAGGAAAGTACCAAAATGCCATCAATTTTCATCCACCTCAACCCCTTCCCTTTTTTTTCTCTCATTAAGTCATTGTGCTAAGATTAAGTGAAAAATAAACAACCAAAGTCTCAATGGATAGTGATAGTAAAACTACTCTACCGCTCATATAATAATAACATTTGCCAAATGTGACAATTCAAGATGTTACATTTGATTTCGACATTTGAAATAATAATGATGTTACATTTGATTTCGACATTTCAAATTTTAAGCACAAAATACATATAGAGTTAAGGAATTGGAAGTTGATTTTGCTTTAAAGTGAAATGTGATCTTAAACTTTAAAGTACACACGAATAACAAGTTAAAGGTACACATTAAATGAACCTTAATTTGTGTGCGATATAGATAAATAAATAAATAACGATAGTAACCTGTTACCGGCCTTTATTAAATCGACTCAAAAATATCGCGAAAATTTTGCAACTTTTTTTTTTCTTGGAATTTTTTTTTTTTTTCAAATATTATATTAAATAGAGTGACAAGTGCCAACTATTAACATAAATTCAATGTTTAGAATTTAGATTACACACAGACTAGCAACTATTAATAGATATGAAGTGTTACTTAAGATTACAATGAAGGGGTAGATTGGTCTATTCAAGGTTTTGATGACTAACCTGCATAGAGGTAGGTACATTCTGGATAAGGTAATCAGGAGATGTAATGTGCTTTGCATGTTTACCAAATTACAAAAAAACCAAGCTTCATGGATATCTGTTTAACCATAAAAAAGATATGATTGGTAAATGGTAATATGATTCATATAAGTAAAAAAATATAGATTAATTATATCAAAAGGTTGAAATTACTTACAGAAAGAAAGTGATGTTAATTACTCCATGATTTGGTGATGATTAAGTTCATTTAGTAGTTCAGTTAAAGATCCTGTAGTGTCGTTCACAATGTCATCTTTGCCCCTGCATACTAGCAACTGTTCTTGAAGAGATTGCACCAGTGCTTTAAGCTTTTGAATTTGTTTCTCTTGAGATAGGATTATCTAAGATATTGAGATAAAAATAAATAAATAAGCAGTTGAGAACTTGAAATGTTGTTCATGTTTGCACGATTAAAAATACTTGTTTTGTGGTAATTTTCAAGAAAGCTTGAAGCTTTTTAGTGAGGATTGACTTTCTTTTAGTTGTTGACATGTTTGTGAGAAGTTGTAATAAGGAGACATGCGAGGGGTAATTCGGTAATTGTCCTCTTAGATTGGTCCAGAAAGCATGAGGTCGGATATTGGTAATGAGATAAGAAAGGCGAGCATAATCAGGTGCTTAATAACCTCAAGAAGACCATGAATCATAGAATCTAAATATTATTCCATTATCAATCAAATATATAACATTTCCTTTTATCTAAAGTGACAAAAAAGAAGATGTATATGAGATTAAAAGGATTAACATAGTGGAATAGTAACAAAAGCCTTTAGTTAAGACCTATTAAACTTATTACATATCAACCTTTTAGCTTGATTAGGATAGACCACATACTAGAGACTTGGATCCAAGCCCAGTTGCAAATGAGCCCACAAGCCCAACAAATTGGAAAGTTTACAAAAAAATAAATAAATACTTCAAGAACACCAAAGGGAAGTCAAGTGCAAGTGAATAACTGGTTGAAGCAGTTGCATAGTGAGGAGATTTGAAAATTGAAATAGAGACATAGAGTCCATGTTTTGTAATTTTGGTATGTTGGTTACTTTTGTATTGTTAACAGAGCATTTGTAATAACACTACAAATTAACAGTTATTTTGGTCAGAGTTCAGAAAAGGGAGAGAACAAGTAGTTGAAGACTTGCCTTTTCTTTGATGGATTCTTCCCTCTCTAATACATATTGCTGCTTTTGTAAAAGAGCCAATGGCCTTGCTTCAACCTCATTTACAATATGCTGATTCCATTCAAATTGAGAAGTGAAGATCATCAACAACAGCAAGGAAACTAATAGAAGTGGCCTCGACATTGCCAGATTACCAATTCTTGTAATCACTGATAAAAGAAATTTTCATTTTGGCTAAATTAGAAAACCCGAAACCTCAAACTTACTAATTCATGAAAAGTCTACAAATTTCTAGCTAATGAGAAGTTATAGAAATCAATTCATGGAAGTAATTCATCCACATCGCCCTTCTCAGGTAAACCCTAATTATTTCTACGTTCTGGTAGGTGAATTGCACGTGCGATCTCTTCCTACACGACCCAAAGGATAACGTTGATTCTTTCCCCCAATTGAGGAGGGAGATGAATTCGTTTCTCCCTATCGGAATTCCACCTCACAGCTCTCTAATTTACCAGAAGCGAACAGGGCCAGTGTGCGATGATTACTTGAAAAGTTAAATCAACTAAATTCGAAGCCCTAGGAAACACATAGCATCATATTGACACAAATTGATGAGTTCGTGGTGCAGCATCAAACCAACAAAATACTTTATTGGAAATGCAAGTGTGTTCGACATTAATTCATGGATGTATGCATAAAATGCGCTTGAAATACAATTGAATTGAACAGTAAAAGAAGATTACCTTTGATGAAGATTAGTGTGCTTTGAAGACGGCGGAAACCGCGTGGATCGGAGATACCAAACCAGGTGTACGATTGAAATCCTTGAGAAATTTTGGGACTGATGTTGCCAGCTAACGGGGTAAGAGCATTTGTTTCAAAGAGACATCGTGGTCATACACAAAGGGGTGTTGACTGTTTAGGGAACTTTCGGATCGTACTATATTTTTGATATTCAAGTCTTGATCACTATCCAATATTGCTTCATGAGCAAAATAGAAAGTTGCACAAATTGGTTGCTACTTCATGTAAATAATCCTAATTACATTTGAAACGACAATTTGTCACACAAAAAAAATGATCTTTAAAGATATATGAAAATTATACATCTATGGTATGCCTTTGGAAAGGGCTAATCAACAATAAGATTATTGTCAAAGTGTCCATGAGCTAGACTAGTTAGTATAATGGGATATCATTCTCTGTATATAAATGAGTATCTAGGACAAGTATTTTTTCATATCTTGTTGGATCATGTTAAGATTTTTTTCATGAATTCATGAGACCTTGTTAATGTGTGGTATATGGGATCATGTTAGACCTTTTTCATAAATTTATTAGACCTTGTTAATGTGTGGGGCATCACGAATTCAACCGATAAAAAAAACATGCATAGTTTAAGCATAAACTTAGAAGAAAACACAAATGTGTGTAAATGTATGTTCTTAGATGTATAAGAGTAGAACTATTGATGTTATAAGAGTAGAACTATTGATGTTATATTGGTATTATAACGACAAGTGGTGGTTAGCATGTAGTTATAAATGTTTTTTGGCACCAAAATTATACCAACAATATTGGAAGGTGTATTAGTACACTACTTGGGTTGTATCGATATGCAATTCCTCACAGACTAATACACTGTCAAATATATATTAACATGTCACATGGATACCAAATACACATTTAACACTGAAAAGTATGACCACGTCAACAAGTGTTGCATGTATAACCCTTTAAGGGGTTATGCCCTTGATCACACCATTCGTCATGGTCATAACCTAACAAAGCATGTACAAATATTCTTTTTACAACTCCTCGAATATATCCAACTTAGCTTAAATCTCCTTCCGTCTCATGTAAACCTCAATTACTCAACCTTTGTTGATATTAAAATCACCAACATTATTCATCATGTTTATGAACAAACTAAGCATATTATTATACTACGTACAACGTATCGAAGATAATATGGTTTGGTTTATGAGTAGTTTGGGTGACCAACACAAAACATAATAATTTGTACCATTTATCTGTTGGATTTGGTACTTGACCCGATTGTAGCATGGTTATTTTGGATTGTCTTCATCAGTGTAATTTGATATGATGGACTTTTTAGAATAAAGGTTATTTGTGATTTATTAATATATTATAAATATAATATATTAATTGAGAAATCATATTATTTAATTAGTATTTGTCAAAAATTAGTTTGAAATTAATTTTGTGATCAGAAGAGACTAATTAAATATGTAGGGATTGATTGTGTAAATTAATCATTCTTATAATGTGGGCTAATGATACATAGTTATTTAGGATGGGCTAAACCATTGAGATAATCCATGGATAGTCCATGGAGGTTAAACCATGAGGCCTAAGTATATGAAAGGTCATTAGTGTTTACAAAGTGTAACCCTAGCATTTGTCACATTATAAATACTCACCCCTAGTGCTGAAATCAGCCACCACATTCATTCTAAGAGAGTGAAGTTGATTTTGTGCTAAGTAACATATTATCTCAAGCCTCCTCTTGCATTTGGTGTTTGTGAACCATTAGAGGCATCACACTTGGGGTGCACAAGCTTTCAAAGGTCAATAATAGGCATGAGCAAAAGGACCGAACCCGTCGGAACCGGCCCAACTCGGGAACCAGCTTCGGCCAAAATCAAGAAACCGATCCGACGGTTCTACGGGATCCGGTTCTAGGTCCGGTTTTTGTCGGGTTTTCGATTTTGGAACCGGTCTAATGATCATCTTTCTATCCCACATCATCCTACATAACTTTTATTAAAAATTAAAACATGATAAAAATATACAACTAGTTATCATCTATTAATGATAATGTTTCATTAATAAATTAAAAAATTACAAGGCTAAATAATAATTAAAGGGATTTTCTAATATATGCCCTAAGGGCACATATAAGAAGTATTAATTAATGACAAATATTACTATAATTAAATATAAAATGCATTAATTATAAGGAATATTACCTTAATTAAATGTGACATTAGGGCACATATTTATCATTAATTAATACTTCTTATATGTGCTCTTAGGGCACATATTAGAAAATCCCATAATTAAATTATTTCACTAAAATTACATAAATAATATACGTTGTATTTATCAATCACTTTGCATTGCATAAACCACTTCTCTATTTATTAGAGAAAACTATTTGAAACTTCATACTTTTAAAAAAGAAAGAATTTCATATATACTCTTGCATTTGGTGTTTGTGAACCATTAGAGGCATCACACTTGGGGTGCACAAGCTTTCAAAGGTTAATAATAGGCATGAGCAAAAGGACCGAACCCGCCGGAACCGGCCCAACTCGGGAACCAGTTTCGGCCAAAATCAAGAAACCGATCCGACGGTTCGACGGGATCCGGTTCTAGGTCCGGTTTTTATCGGGTTTTCGATTTTGGAACCGGTCTAATGATCATCTTTCTATCCCACATCATCCCACATAACTTTTATTAAAAATTAAAACATGATAAAAATATACAACTAGTTATCATCTATTAATGATAATGTTTCATTAATAAATTAAAAAAAATTACAAGGCTAAATAATAATTAAATTATTTCACTAAAATTACATAAATAATATACATTGTATTTATGAATCACTTTGCATTGCATAAACCACTTCTCTATTTATTAGAGAAAACTATTTGAAACTTCATACTTTTAAAAAAAGAAAGAATTTCATATATACCCTTGTTAAGCTTTAAAATATTGTATTTATCCAACCTAAATTCTAAATATCATATATATCATTCTTTAACTTTTAAAATATCATATTTGCCTAATTTTATTTTTTAAACAATATTAATTAGTTTTTATATTTTATAATCATTTTAATTTACAAAAAAAGCTAAATGACCAGATTGCCCTTCAACTTTATAACCCTTTTTCCATACATTTGAATTTGATGAACTGAATTACGCCTAGCTATCTAACCCTTCTTCTTATCACCTAGAAGGAGATTGGCGCCTTCTGAAATTGGAACGACAACCATAGTTCGTTGCAGATCTCTGCTCATGACAATAGTCAATATCTTTAGGTTCTGTTTAATGTCTTGATTCAGTGGCCTCTAATTCTAATTTTCTAGGGTTTTCGTCTTCAAGTAATTTCTTGATTGGGATTTATTGAACAACTCCAAACTCAGGCTCGAGGGTGGTGTGTAGAAATTGGCAACTTGGTACCATCTGAGAACAACATGTCGCATGCAACTCTCGTCATTTAGTGTAACAAAACCCATTTATGATTCACCTATTAGCTTTTTTAGGATGTTAGTTTCCTTTTTCCAACCATTAGAATCCATGGCAATATGACATACATGATACATGTGATCATGTTCATTTAGATGTCATATGACGTGAAAAATCAAAATCAAATCATGATTTTAGAAGTTATCTAAAAATGTCACTTTTTATCAAGCATGAAGACACTCGGAGAACCACCATTCATATCTTCGATTACAATGGTTCTCCCTAGCCTCCTCTTCTCACCTTCATTCCATATATCTCCAAGTTCTCTCCACATCCAATCTCATCATTCCTAAACTTCATCATCATAACATCTTTGTAGTACTTATCCATTACAAAAACACCTAAAACAGTTCTTGATTCACATATCCATCCATTACCGAGAGCACACACAAGGATTTAATAAGTCTAAAGATTATTTAATCACAAATCAAAATCATTCTTCTTCTTTATCTAACAAGCTTTATATTACTCACCCAACACCTCATATCCTAATAAGTAAGAATTTTTAAAAGAACCTACTCCCAAACCCTTCCCTCTTCCCAAAAAAGACACCATCACCACCAGGAGTCACCACAGAACCTACAATCAAGCTTACTATGTCTTGGTCATAAAACTAATAACATTCCTGATGTCTAAACATTGGGTCAAAAGATAAGTAAAGGTCAATTTGGTACTACCTATTTATGCAATGAGATCACAAAATGGTTAGATATATACGCGTAAACTGATTTTGGTCAATCTTATGTAAGGCAAAAAGGTTTTAAATTAAGGGAAATTTGGTCAATTATATATATATATATATATATATATATATATATATATATATATATATATATATATATATATAAAGATGATTTGAAAATATAAAAACTGATTAAAAGAGTTAAAACAAATATAAAAATAAATTTTGGCAAATATGATATTTATTTGTTGGACAAATACGATATTTTAAAGCTTAATAAGAATATATATGAAATCGACTAAAATCCATTAATTTTGTCAAAAAATTATATATCTAAACCAAAGTTGAAAAAAGAACTAGAGGTTCATGATCCAAAATGCAACTGGCCTCATTTTTCAGGGACTAATCTTGTAACTTATAAGTCGACTAGCCGTGCCAGCAATGCAGCTTACACGGCTTTTCTGTAAGAATTTTCTCACCAGTGAATATTAACAAAATCCAGAGTAACGTACAACTTTCAATGCATTAGGTATAGTTCTATATAGCACAAATTTCTATATTTAGTATTTTAGCTCTGAAAGAGGAATTTCCATAAAACACCGGTTCGTAGGCCGATGAGCCAACGTGCTTTTTATAAACGCCTTCTCCAGTTTTCCGTTAACAATCAATAACCGTTAAAAAATCGATCACCGGCCACTGCCGGAGAGATGGGGAACGCACAGTCACCTGCCGCCGATCCTCGTTTCACCTCCGCTATCAGGTTTGCTATCATGTAATACTTGCATTTTTGTTTGTTTGAGTTACGACAAATCATTATTAAATCTTCTTCAAATTTACAGAGCTTTCTCTGAGAAGGAGCTTGGTGACCTAAAATCGTTGTTCGCATCTCTCGCTTCTCAGTCTCAAACAGAAGGAAAATACATCTCGCTCTCTGTATTGAAGGTATCGTTTATTATCTGTGTTGTTTGGTGGTTCGTTTTCTGGAATATCTCTATCCGATCAGAATTTATGAATTGATTTTTGTAATTTAGGCGTATTCTGGAATTAAAGGTCCTCTCGGTGATAGACTGTATGATTTAGTTACTCAGAATCGAAAAGATCAAAAACTAACATTTGAAGACCTTGTAATTGCTAAAGTAAGTTATCTTTCTGCACCATTGTCTATGTGATGGAATATTGTCAATTCTTTTGTTTCCTATTAATTGTACCTAATGTTATGTATCACAAACTACTAAACAGTAATTAGTATTTAAAACATTAGGTGATAAGCCTAGTAGTTAAAAAGAACTTCAGCACTTAATCAGTAGTTTCTCAATTCAACTTGTACTTACACATTGGTCTGTAATTCAGGGAACTTATGAAAAAGGAACTAGAGATGAGATTGACGAGTTTCTTTATCAACTTTGTGATGTTAATGGTGATGGCAATTTAGTGAGGTAAAAGGATTCAACTCTTATCACTTTCAATGTACTTAATATTAATAATTAAGCTTTTGATGTATATAGTTGGTTGCTTGTTTTCTTTCTTCTTCAACAATTCCTTCACATTTCTGCATTGACTTGCAGGTCTGACCTCGAAGCTGTAATAAGTGAAATACTTGAAACCATATCTTCTCATAAAACATCTGAACCCTCATCCATTAGTGTATTCCTTGATGCTGCCAACTTTACAGAGGACAATGAAGGAAGTCCTGAAAAAAGCATGTCTTTTGAGGATTTCAGAAACTGGAGTCACCTTGTTCCATCTGCCAGAAAATTTCTTACAAAATTGTTAAAGCCATCTTCTTCTGGTATTCATTCATCTTTCCATTATGCTGCATTGTTATTTGCTCTACATGTTTCAACTCATAAGATACAAAATATTTCCCACAGGTTCTCAAGTTCCTCAATTGATCCACCAAGACATTGATTCTAATATGCTGTTATTAAAAGAAGAATATGCTTGGCACATAGGAGGAGCTCTTTCACATCAAGAATTAGGCGAATGGAGAATTTTGTATCATAGTTCACTTAATGGACTAAGTTTCAACACATTCATGGGCAATATTTCGTGGGTAGCCTACTTCCTCCATTTTTTTTTGTCTTTTAAGCAATGTCATTTAGGTTTTTTGAGTTTTTATATTCATTACATATATCTATGCAGACATGCTGAAGGGCCAACTGTGTTAATTATCAAGGACAAGGAAGGTTATATATATGGAGGTTATGCTTCACAGCCTTGGGAGAGGCATGCTGACTTTTATGGGGACATGAAATCTTTTTTATTCCAATTATACCCTAAAGCATCTATCTATCGACCTACTGGTGCCAACAACAGTATACAATGGGTAAGTTAAGTTCTGTTTCTGTTTCTCTTTTTTTTTTTCTTTCTCTGAATGGACTGTTTGAATGTGAATGAATGACCATTTTACCCTTCTGTTTAGAGGTAATGTGGAATAACAATTATATAATAAGTTCATTGTCAATCGCATATTTGGAACAAAAAGAAAAACATACCATTGATATTAGGAACAAAAAAGGGTAGGTAGGTAAAAATGGCATAAAGTGATCCATTTCATTTAACCCTTTAAGACCTGCTATGTGCATTAGTAAAAAAGAAACACCTTTATATAATTGTCTTCATTAAGTAGAAACTAAACACCATATCAACAAAAAAAACTGACAGAAATAAATAAATTATTTTCAATTTCAATTTATCACAGCTATCAAATAAACAGTCCTTTGTTATTCCGTATTAGCTCTAACCAAAAGGGTAAAATGGTCATTCATTCAAATTCATACAACACATAATGAGAAAAAGAAAAAGAAACAATCCATTAAGTCAATAAAACACAGGATAATCTGACTGAAACTAAATGACCATTTTACCCTTACATTATTCATCAATTTTAACATGAGAGTTGGGAGGAAAAAAGAAAAGGAAAACAGGTATAGCTGTATACATTAAGTGCTTAGCCCATTAAGTCAAAACAAACAACCCCTTAGTTTTTGTCTTAATGTTATTATTACTCCATTTGTCACATTTTTTTACACATATTTTTGTTCATCTTGATACAGTGTGGTGTAAACTTCAGTTCAGATAGCATCCCAAATGGCATTGGTTTTGGGGGACGTGCAAATCATTTCAACTTATTTATTTCAGCAAACTTTGATAGTGGTCATACTTTCACTGGAGCAACATTCAACAATCCTTGTCTTTCAAAAAGCAACTTGATATACCCTGAAGTCATTGAATGTTGGGGAGTTGTACCAAAAGGATTTCAACAAGATAAACAAGAGGGCCTCAAAGGTAGTGTGCTTGAAAGATTTAAAGAAGATCGCAATATGCTTAATTTGGTTGGGTTAGCAAATTCAAGCAACTGATAAATGAAAAATGTAGAAGCTTATATTTTCCACCTTTTTTTATGGTGTGTTGTTTTGTGAAATAAGTTTACTGTATGATGGGATTGTATTGATGTTGATATGATGACTTGGTTTCACTTCAACCTTTGTTGGAATCGGATTGTTTTTGTCTTGGTTGCATTGTCTTACATTACATAACTTGATAAAAAGTGGATGAAACTTGCAATTTCGGGTAAAACACAGGGACCATTCTTGTAATTGACTCGTTGGATTATGATTTCATGACTAGAGTCTGATTCTTGGTTTTTTTTTTTTCTTGTAATCGATAGGTTGCCTTTGTAATTGATGAATGACTTGGTGCTAAGAAATATTCACAAAAGGTGACACTTCTTTTTTGAAGATCAACAAAAATATATGTCTAAAGTTTGGAACCAAATGTATTTCTTTTGCATGTTAATTTACTTAAGTGACGTCATGCTTGAAGACCGAAAAATGTAGTTTATTCAAATTATTATTAAAATGAATTATTTTCCTCTCAAACAATCAGGTTCAACAATGGCTGCAAATTCTTGCAGATAAGTGTGCATACAATACAAGGGAAAAGGAATACTTCTAACCTACCTACGGCTTAATAGGCGAGTTAAGGCGAGTTAAGACTTGTTTCTCTATTAAGTTGTTCTTTCTACATTAATAAATATATATATATATATATATATATATATATATATATATATATATATATATATATCTTACTTGATAAGTCATGTCCACATCAAATCAAGTATCTTAAGTACAAAAGAACTAATATGTATACCGGGAAAATAGAAGTAGTAGGATTCATTCTCTTATTCATAATATAACAATAAATAAAAAATCTCAAATTTTTTTGCGAACAGATCACATTCAAAATAAATTTCCGATGTCATGAAGACAATAGACATTTTTTGATCAAGCAGGTATGTCACGTAAAATAATTGTTGTGCTTGGGAGGCTAATATGAAGGGATCACCTTTATGGCCTAATTTTTTTAGTTCAACTAGTGTGTACCCCAATTTATCTTTTTTTTTTTACCCCAATTCTATTGTCAACCCAGTCACGTGAAAATTGGAATTTGTTTAAAATGATAATCTAGTACCCCATATCTCTTGTAAAACACAATAATATGTGTTTTTGGCATATGTTACAACTTTTTTTACTGATGTGTGTGTCAATTGCAACAACACTAAGCCCACTGTTTTGGTAAACTTTATCTTCACGAGCTTTTGTACGAAAAGTATATTCATTAATAGCATATGCATCGTATTTAATAATGTTCTCATTGGGTCCATGAGAAATCCATCTCATTGTCTCTGTTATACTTTCTCTACAGACCCCAACTCTCTCTCTACCTGAATAGTAATTAGATTATGAATTTAAGATATAAAGAAATACATAACAAAGAACACAACATATATGAAAACAATATACCTCCTTTCGTAACCAATGACCAAATGTATTACTGTGCTCTTGCTCTAGCTGTGCCTTTCGTTTAGTAGGGTGTTGATGTTGCAAAAATTACATGTATCATCTGTCAATACATTTATGTTAATATTATAACAAAAAAACATACATGTAAAAAAACTTACTTGATATACCAGAGTACTTCATTTGTATTTTGCAATACAAAGAAATATGCTTTGCTGAATAGTTCTGCAGAGACTTCTACCGATTTAGCAGTTGATAGAGGAGTATCGTCCGTAATAGAACTACTATCTACATCTTTCTGAATTCCACATGTGTTATGATTGTCAGGTGGCATACCAACAATATCCATCTTTTTGAGGAATTCACTAAAAAACTCAATCGTCTCTTCTGCAACATTCTCTTCCGCAATGCATCCTTCTGGTCTATTTTTGTTTCGCACGTGCCCGTTAATAACCTTCATAAACCTTTCGAATGGGTACATCCATCTAAAGAATATTGGACCGCATAATTTTACTTCCCTAGTTAGATGAATGGTTAAATGAATCATCACATCAAAAAATGATGGTGGAAAGTGTTTCTCAAGAAGGCATAAGGTTAACATAACTCCTCTTGCAACTTATCGAGCTCATCCAGTTTGATTTCTTTGCTACATATTGTTTTGAAAAAGAAACAAAACCTTGTAATAGCAACTCTGGTGTAACATCGTAAAATTTAAGACAATTTTTCACATTTTAAAACACATTTTCCAAACACATTTATTAACAAAATCTCATTGTATCATATCTTCGTTTCATAAAATATTTCCCAAGATCAAAATACATAAAATCCCACGAGTGTGTACGAATCATGTCGGCGCCTTCCCGCGATCATCACTGGTACCTGAAACACATAACACATAACACTATAAGCATAAAGCTTAGTGAGTTCCCCAAAATACAATACATAACACATACTAGCCACTCGAGGCTATAACTCTGTGGGCCCTTAGGCCCTAACTCTGTGGACCCTCTGGTCCTAGCTCTATGAACCTTCCGGTTCTATCTCTGATATACTCTGATATACACATGGCATAAATTACATAGAAATAATGCAGTGCAACACAACACATAAGTAGCATACAATAACTCTGTCACATAACTCTAATTACCACTCAAGGTAAAGTATATTGAGAAGACTCACCTTAGATGTCTCGGTAAATCCCTGACTCGGTAGCAATATAGTCTAGCCTCCGCCTAATCACATAAAATAAGATACGCTCATAACTATAACTCTCGAGACTAGACCCAACCCTCATCCTCAGATAGGTAAAAGACCATTTTACCCCTCTCTTGACTCAAAGATCCTATTGTTGACCAATCCCTAAAAGTCCACAAAGTCAACGGTCAACTTTGACTTGACTCGTCGAGTGCACTTGGGCGACTCGGCGAGTCTACACGTGTCCACTAACTCTCTAGTCTCGCTTGGCATGTCGAGTCCATCCCCTTGCTCGACGAGTCACACCTGGCATGAATCGCGGGGCCACCCCGACTCAACTCGCCGAGTCTTAAGATCAACTCGGCGAGTTCCGCCTTGAACCCCAATCCTCTAATCCCTCTCTAACTCACTAAGTTATTCCCCCAACTCGACAAGTCTACTCACTGAATGATTTACTGGAAACCCTAGCCCTACTCGCCGAGTCTGCCCATGGACTCGGCGAGTTCATGCCATGCACAAACTCAATTGACCTCCTGAGGTCAGATCTGTTCCTTTGATCCGTAGATCTGACCTTCCCAAGTCTGATAAACATCTAAAGCTCGAATCTTGACACTCATGGGACGTCTAGAAGGTTTCACTTGGTGATTTAGCCCCCAAAATAACATCCTAAGCTCAACACCTTTATAGCTCAACATAAAGCAAGCTGAGATAAGCTCTTTAGACCACTATGGGACCAGATCCGAAGTCTCAAAGCGAATAGGGGCCATATTCTCACAATTTCTTCCATTAAAGGACATGAAAACTCTACATCTATGGATTCCTCCAACAAAACAGATAAAGGGGCGATATAGTACCTCAAAGATGAAGTCTTTAGCTCGAAATCCACATATGCACCACCTCCTTGGCCTCCTCTAATCTGGAAACACCTCCTTCTTGCAAGAATCAACCACAAAGATCAAGAAATGGCTCTTTTCCTCTCACAATCGCTCTAGCTCTTTTAGGGTTTCTCTCTAGGGTTTGGTAGCCGTAAATGACGACCCTAAGGGCCTTTAAATAGGTCCCAAACCCTGGAAATTAGGGTTTCATTAAATAGCGTGGACTCGCCGAGTCCAGTCATGAACCCGGATGAGAATCTGCGACCCTACTCGGCGAGTCCCTCCACAAAGTCGAAAAATAAAAGAATAAAATAATATATCTGGGAATCCGGATGTTACATCTGGTGGGTGGATGCATAATATATCGAATTGCTATGGGAAAAAATTGTTGCATGAGCATGTGATAGTCATGTGATTTAGTCCAAGCAACTTCCTATCCTTCAAACTCACCAAACTAGAAAAATTAGAACAATACCCTTGAGGAACCCTTAAGATGTATAAAGTCTCACAAAATTTGTCTTTCTCCTCTTTTGTCAATGTACAACCTGCTGCAGGAAATGTTGTGTTGTTCCCTTCTATCTTAGGATGCAGCTCTGGTTTTAAACCATAATGAACCAAATCCAATCGAGCTTTATAAGCATCTTTCGTCTTCCCGGGAACATTCAACACAGTTCCAATTAAACTCTCGTCCACATTCTTTTCGACATGCATAAAATCTATACAATATGAAATCAAATTGTCGCGCCAATACCTTAGCTGTCTATACCATATATTAAATTTCTTCAAGTATGTATTATTTTGCTGGCCCACATCTGAAGTACCCACTTCGTTTGATTTTCTCTTTTTTTTTTATTAATATTCCCACCTCTTCCAGTTTTAGATTGTTGGATTTCTACCTCCTTGCCCTTAGACACCTTTCCCCATTTATTAATTATAAATTTGAACCTGTTATATATTTCCTCCCCATTCATAGGTTCTGGAGAGGATGAGAACTCTTGTTGTCTATTGAATGCATTTTTTGTCTTCTGAACGGGTGATCATGCGGTAGAAATCGTCTATGACCAGCATAACTTTGCTTAATCGATTCAGGGAGTCTAATGCAATGTGTTTGTTCACCACACACAACACAACCTTGAAATCCGCTATAAATACAACCACTTAATGTACCTAGAGCAGGATAATCATTAATAGTCCATAACACAACTGCATATAGATTGAACTGCTCTTGTGCATGGCTTACTGATGATCCGGTCACATTCTTCACTGTCACCAACACATATACAAAGGAGATGATTTCCAAGAACTTTAAGTGATTCATGTTTGGAGCCATGAAAATGGTGTTTTGTTTTATAATTGTCTATGGGCATCCAATTCTCATTATATATAGACCATGAATAAGTTTAAAAATCAAGTAATAGGGCCAATGAAAGAAAAAAGAAATACTAGATACAATAAAAAAGTATTTTTAATTAGTAGTGGTTTTGGAAATTTTAGTTTGTATTACTTTTTCCGTAATTAATTAATTCGTTTTTTAATCTGTTGGTCATATGGTTTGATTGCAAGATTGAAAATATTTTAAGTTAATATGTGAAGATGATTAATGTGCTTTCCATGGTGTGTGAAGTGCTCGTTTGCAGGGTTTTGTGTATGATTCCTTTTCTGGAATTACTCCATATGAGGAGGTCTTCCATGATTGTTGCAGATGGAGAAACATTGCTTCTCAGAATTACCATCTCTCTTTCTCTAAAAAAAAATAATAATAAACAATTCAAATCAATTTAGCAGAGTTTGAATACTTCTTGGGGTCAAAATC